ATTTGATCTTTAAAATCCTTCTTATATCATAGGGATGAAGTGATTTCTTCCCAATTTGGTCTGGAGGATCTTGTGCAGAATTCAATTTTGTATAAACAGTGAGTGTGGCCACCTGGGGGCAGAAGGGCCGTGCCCAATAGGGGAAACAAAGCAAATGTTTCAAATACCTTTTTCTTCTGTACGAATGACAGGATTTTGTCCAAATTTAGTATGAAGCATCCTTGGGTGAAGGGGAACCAATTTTGTATAAACGGTGTGTCTAACCCCCCTGGAGGCAGATGGGTGGGGCCCAATAGGGGAAATAGAGATAAAACCTTTAAAATCCTTATTCGACCATCAGGATTAAGGGATTTTATCCTTATTTAGTCCAGAGCATCCTTGGGCCAAGTGGACTCAATTTTGTGTAAACGGTGGGTATGACCCCCCCTAGGGGCATAGGGTTGGGGCTCTGTTTGAAGTTTGTTCTCGCTATGTCTCTAGTACTGGATGGATCTTTCTGAAATACAGCACCTACCATGGAGTGCTAAATCTTAACTTCATACCAATTATTTTAAACATAATCAGGTGAGCGATACAGGCCCTCTGGGCCTCTTGTTACTTCCGTTAGGATTAAGGTATTTTGACCAAATTTGAACAGTAGCATCCTATGGGGCAGGGAAATCAATTTTGTGTTAATGGTCTGTCTGACCCCCCCTGGGGCCTGAGAGGTGGGGCCCAATAGAAGTAATTTAGCAAATTCTTGAAAATTATTCTTCTGTAGGAGTAACAGGATTTTGTCCATATTTTGTCTAAAGCATCATTGGGTAAAGGCGACCTGATTTTGTATCAAAGGTAGGTCTGACCCCCCTCAGGGTAGAGGGACAGGGCCCAATAAGGGAAACATAGCAAATTCTTCAAAATCCTTTTCCCATAAGAATGACAGGTATTTTCCAATTGAATTGCATATAAATATAACCCCTGACCATATAAATATAACCCCTGACTAACCATGTAATACATGTACACTACCAGCAACATCTAGCTATTCCAACTTCAATCTTACTAACATTTCCAGGTGAGCGATACAGGGCCTCTGGGCCTCTTGTTCTTATGTTAATAACTTAATCCACTTTCAAGGTCACTAATTGCCAAATGCACATAAACCTTTAATGACCCCATCTCTATAAACAAAAGGTTTAGGGTGGTGATATTTGGTAAGCCGCATGCTATGATGAAATACTATAAAGTTTGTTCAAATCAATGACCTTGTTAGACTTTCAAGGTCAAAGGGATCAATTGTGCTTTAATTTTAACAGGTTCTTTGGAATAACTTGAGTCATAGATGCTGATTTTCTTTCTGTAGCTTTATTATAGTCCACTTTTAAGGTTTTAAATGTGAGATTAATACCAGTTGAGCGATGCAGGTCCACTGGGCCTCTTATTTTGAAAATGCAAATAACATGACTTCACGCATGTTTTCTGTTTCATCGATTAAATTGTTTTTATTGTTTTATTCATTTCAGATCTTATTATTGTATGCGCAAGTATCCTCATCCTCATCATCGTAGTCATCGTCGTTGTTGTACTGGTTTGGTTTGTAATACGCAAAACAAAATGGTATGACAATCTGAAAAGAAAACTGGGTTCAAATAAGGAGAGGTACGTTTCATTAAGATAGTCTTATTAATAACCGTACTGTGGGTAACAATACAATTAACTATGTTCTTATGCTGCTGCTCAGTCAAGGTTATACGTTTGCTCAATCAATGGATTTTTCCTTTTAAAGTCACCTGAGACAAAGTCTCAAGTGACCTATTGCCATCGCCTTTTGTCCGGCGGTGTCCGGCGTGCGTCCGTAAACAATTTACATTTTCGACTTCTCCAAAACCCTGAACCAATTTCAATGAAATTATGCAGAAACCTCCCATGGCCAAAGGTCAACAAAAACAGTGGCTGATTTGGTCCCCAGCCCCCAGGGGCCTGAGAGGTGGGACCAAAAAGGGTCAAATTGACTAAAATTTCAAAAATCTTCTTCTCAAGACCCAGATATGGTAGAATCAAATACTCTTCATAGATGGAAGGGTTTTAGGTGATTTACCGAAATTGTGAATTTCTTGACCCTGGGGTCTCATGTTTCCCCCTGGGGAGGGGGTAAACTTTACTATAGTTTATGTAGGGAAATCACATTTTGGACCAATATTTGTTTAATTTCATTTGGAAGTAATTCAATTTAGGTTAGCATTATCAGTATTGGGTAGCAGTTTAAGGGTATGCACATATGAGCCCTGACTGCCCCCCCCCCCTACCCCCAAGGGCTGTATGGTGGGGCCCAAATGAGTCAGTGTGCTAAAATTTCTTCATTTTCCTTGTTTAGAATCAGAGGTCCTAGTTTCAAATACTTTTCAGTCCTAAATCTGTATGCTAGATATTGAATAAGGTGATTTTATTGGGTTTTTTGTCACTTTAAATAATATTTCTGTTCATGTTAAAAACAAAATCAAATCTCTGTATAAATATATCAGGTGACTGTTAAGGTCCATGGGCCTCTTGTTTTTATTGCTTTCAGTACAAGTCCGAATTATTCTGACGTTTTATCAACTTTTTTCATATCGGTCTGTCGTCGATTAACGTCAGAACTCCGGCCCTCTATAATATGCGGGAAATATGCGACCCGCGCCCGGAGCGCACTTCAAACTGATATTTTAGAAACAGATCGTCACTTTCACACACATGTCGCACATGGATCGAAAGGGGGTATTCAAAATTGCCAAAAGCAGAAAGTAATCAAGACGATATATCCAACAAAGAAAATAGCCGTTGTGTGAACACAAGCTGTACTATAATTGATGAGTAAGCAGTAATAACTATTCTTTCGTAGCTAAATGACAATAAAAGAGGGATAGTAAAAAGAGACACGGAATATTGATACAGAGTGTAGTAACCCGGGAGATTCATGTTATCAATGATAGAAGTCGATTAAATTAAAACAATTATATTAAATGTATTTGACATCAGGTTTTATCCTATTGTATGATTGGTGGATTCTCTGTCCTTTACATGAAAAGAGTTTTAGAACCGTGTCCTTGTTGACGTGAAACACAGAAAGAATCATAATGACAACCAAGAAATTATTTGAAATCGTGATCTCCTATCTGCTCTACGATAAGCATAATAATATAACGTTTGGACTGCTTTTATCTTTTGAATCGTTTCAGGGTTGCTAATCCGGCAACAGGATTGCCGAAAGGAGAAAGGAAAAGGAATTCTAACTGTGGGACGAGTGGCGCACCCTTACTCGGCAATGACAACACAACAGAACACTCTATACAGTATGTACATATTTATTTACGCTATACATACTCACTCACACTCACAACACACAAATAAATACAGTCTAAAGGAAATGTTCTGTCAAATCCAGATCCTCTTCTGTGAACTATCCTAAACTCCTCTGGAGCTAGAACAAAGTCTACCTCACACCAGCCATGAGTTAGGGTTGGCTATCCCACTGGACAGCGTCAAAACATACAAGTGTTTACACACGTCCACCACCTAAAAGGTTGGCACAATCTACTGGCACTGTAGACAAATTGGCTGGTCTTACACAATAGACCATCGACTTCAGTGTAAGTCCTCCTCTATGCAAAGAAAGCAGTGGCTATCTTAGGATATGTCGTCTTCAATCGACTATCGACTTAAGTGTAAGTCGTTCTCTATGCAAAGAAACCGCTGGCTATCTTAGGATATGTCATACCGCCGCTGTATAATTATAATAATAATAATAATAATTGGAGGTTCTTATATACCGCTTTATCACAACCTAGTTCATATATAGTCTTAATTGCCAAAAGCAGAAAGTAATCAAGACGATATATCCAACAAAGAAAATAGCCGTTGTGTGAACACAAGCTGTACTATAATTGATGAGTAAGCAGTAATAACTATTCTTTCGTAGCTAAATGACAATAAAAGAGGGATAGTAAAAAGAGACACGGAATTTTGATACAGAGTGTAGTAACCCGGGAGATTCATGTTATCAATGATAGAAGTCGATTAAATTAAAACAATTATATTAAATGTATTTGACATCAGGTTTTATCCTATTGTATGATTGGTGGATTCTCTGTCCTTTACATGAAAAGAGTTTTAGAACCGTGTCCTTGTTGACGTGAAACACAGAAAGAATCATAATGACAACCAAGAAATTATTTGAAATCGTGATCTCCTATCTGCTCTACGATAAGCATAATAATATAACGTTTGGACTGCTTTTATCTTTTGAATCGTTTCAGGGTTGCTAATCCGGCAACAGGATTGCCGAAAGGAGAAAGGAAAAGGAATTCTAACTGTGGGACGAGTGGCGCACCCTTACTCGGCAATGACAACACAACAGAACACTCTATACAGTATGTACATATTTATTTACGCTATACATACTCACTCACACTCACAACACACAAATAAATACAGTCTAAAGGAAATGTTCTGTCAAATCCAGATCCTCTTCTGTGAACTATCCTAAACTCCTCTGGAGCTAGAACAAAGTCTACCTCACACCAGCCATGAGTTAGGGTTGGCTATCCCACTGGACAGCGTCAAAACATACAAGTGTTTACACACGTCCACCACCTAAAAGGTTGGCACAATCTACTGGCACTGTAGACAAATTGGCTGGTCTTACACAATAGACCATCGACTTCAGTGTAAGTCCTCCTCTATGCAAAGAAAGCAGTGGCTATCTTAGGATATGTCGTCTTCAATCGACTATCGACTTAAGTGTAAGTCGTTCTCTATGCAAAGAAACCGCTGGCTATCTTAGGATATGTCATACCGCCGCTGTATAATTATAATAATAATAATAATAATTGGAGGTTCTTATATACCGCTTTATCACAACCTAGTTCATATATAGTCTTAATTGCCAAAAGCAGAAAGTAATCAAGACGATATATCCAACAAAGAAAATAGCCGTTGTGTGAACACAAGCTGTACTATAATTGATGAGTAAGCAGTAATAACTATTCTTTCGTAGCTAAATGACAATAAAAGAGGGATAGTAAAAAGAGACACGGAATTTTGATACAGAGTGTAGTAACCCGGGAGATTCATGTTATCAATGATAGAAGTCGATTAAATTAAAACAATTATATTAAATGTATTTGACATCAGGTTTTATCCTATTGTATGATTGGTGGATTCTCTGTCCTTTACATGAAAAGAGTTTTAGAACCGTGTCCTTGTTGACGTGAAACACAGAAAGAATCATAATGACAACCAAGAAATTATTTGAAATCGTGATCTCCTATCTGCTCTACGATAAGCATAATAATATAACGTTTGGACTGCTTTTATCTTTTGAATCGTTTCAGGGTTGCTAATCCGGCAACAGGATTGCCGAAAGGAGAAAGGAAAAGGAATTCTAACTGTGGGACGAGTGGCGCACCCTTACTCGGCAATGACAACACAACAGAACACTCTATACAGTATGTACATATTTATTTACGCTATACATACTCACTCACACTCACAACACACAAATAAATACAGTCTAAAGGAAATGTTCTGTCAAATCCAGATCCTCTTCTGTGAACTATCCTAAACTCCTCTGGAGCTAGAACAAAGTCTACCTCACACCAGCCATGAGTTAGGGTTGGCTATCCCACTGGACAGCGTCAAAACATACAAGTGTTTACACACGTCCACCACCTAAAAGGTTGGCACAATCTACTGGCACTGTAGACAAATTGGCTGGTCTTACACAATAGACCATCGACTTCAGTGTAAGTCCTCCTCTATGCAAAGAAAGCAGTGGCTATCTTAGGATATGTCGTCTTCAATCGACTATCGACTTAAGTGTAAGTCGTTCTCTATGCAAAGAAACCGCTGGCTATCTTAGGATATGTCATACCGCCGCTGTATAATTATAATAATAATAATAATAATTGGAGGTTCTTATATACCGCTTTATCACAACCTAGTTCTTATATCGTCTCAAAGCGGTTCACAAATTATTATCCGTGGTTATAGGTCCTTTGCAACCAGCCAATACATTTCTCAACTCCCTGGGGAGCATACAGCCGGAGCTGCCATTTTGGCACTAACAGCTAGCATTCAACAATTCTAGCACTGCCCAACCATGTACTCATTTACAGCTGAGTAGACTAGAACAAGCTGAGTAGACTAGAACAAGCTGAGTAGACTAGAACAAGCAGAGTAAAGTATCTTGCTCAAAGATACAACACATTGCCGTGCCGTGGCGCACCCAATTTAAATTACCCTGTCATGGTCAGATCTGTCTCGTGTGTCGGCTGGTCTGTTCAACAGATGATCCTCCAGATAATCCCAGGGTAGAAGGCTGGCAAAAGATGGAAAATATGACAGAAGATGACGAAAAATCCATATAATTCACATAATTCTTACAGGAATTAACCTTAAAAACTAATTTCACACTGTATAACCTACTTTGGAACTCTTTATTTTATTGACCACAAACACTTACACATCCCATAAATGCCAGATGGAAAAAAACCCAATTCACTATACTTAAATATTGCTTCCTATACTTTCCCGTACATATCGAAACTCATGTTTATCATAACAACTTTGAATAGCTTGGTACATGCACTTTTTTCTTCTTACATAATGAATTCACAATTTACTATGCATTACAATGCTCTTAACCAACCAAATAATTCAAAATTAGTGAAAGGATTTTCTTTGCAAATATTATATAATAATTTTGCAGTTTCTCTACTGATGAATATTCCAAGTATAGAAAAAAATCCACATGGAACCTTAATAATTCACACGCATGTATGCACATATAAAATTGTTGGAAGCTATATTTATTTGGCTTTCCTCATGGATCATTGGCGTGAAACGTCGACAGATCTTCTGGTTTTATCTCATTATATGATAATAGATTCGCTGTTGACGTGAGACCGCACATTTAATATGTACAATTTAAAACACATAATTGTATGTGCACAACAATCTGTTGAATCATTACAAGGTTCCTGATTCAGAATTGCGGGAAAAAGAAATGAAACAAGGCACAATATCCTGATCAAGAGTGCAGAAATTTGGGGAATTTTTGTTATCAATGATAGAAGTTGATTCAATTTAAACTATTATAATTAACGTATTTGACATCAGAGGAGCTACCACTAGATATGATTTATATAAGGTCTTACATTTTGAAACCTTTGCTATTTCACCCTTTTCGGCGAAAATTGTGGTATTAATTAGGATATGTTTGTCCGTCTGTTTGTCCATCTGTCATGTTTTAATTTCTGTTTGATCGGCTCCCTAAATAGATTCCCATTTTGACCAAATTTGTCATGCACAAACACAACAGCAGGATTCGAAATCAATTAATTTTTCTAACACAGGGCAAAGTAATAAAATAATACATTTGTGTCAATTCCAAGCAGACAAGGGCGAATCACTCCAAGTGACATTAATTGCAATAGACTTAAAGTTTTTAGAAGTCCCTGTACTGGTACACTCATTCTTAAGCCGTTTTTATTTTGTAAAATATACTATCAAAGTACATGAAATTTGATGAAATCTTTATTGAACTTATTTTGACAACACATTGCTTAGACAAAGTACAAAGATAATTTGCACATCCATCATTAAAAAATAAATTGAGCGACATTTAGCGACGCACAAAGATAGATTAACATAAATTTCAAATGTCAACATTTTGTACGTGCAGAAAGATCTTAAACATCTGATATTATTTATTTTGTATCTTTTCAGACCACCTTCTGCATCTCTTATACCGATGCAATCACATACTGGATCTCCTGACACCCCTGGGGGCGATGCTCTTGTTCCCAGTGCAACTGGTGATGGCGATAGAAATGGACATGTGGACTGATATGCACTTCACATCGATGAATTGGGATCATAGCACTAATCACATTGACGTCAATGCTGCTCTAACTAAATGTACAAACAAAGTACAATATTCAAATCATGACACAATGTGAACCTGGAAGAATACATTGACATTGTACCTTTAAACTGTCGGGGAATTTTTAATGAAGTGTTGCCGTTTAAAAGAAAGAAAAAAAGAAAAACAAACGAACAAAACATGTTCATGATTGTGAAATGGTTTCTTTATGCATGTAATAATCGTAAGAAGGTATTTAAAAGTAATTAAATAGTAACTAGGAAACACGAACTAAGGGAATAATTATTTTGAAAGTTTAGTCTGTTGATGTAGAAAGAAAATCGGAATACACATCTGCTACACCTTATGGTCTTTTCTTTCATCTATGACTCCGTAGCGGCACTAAATTTCAAAGGAATGAAAAACACGTGAAATCACTCGTATTTGTCTTACTGTAGGCATCGTATGGTCCAGGACTCTGCTTGATCTATTAACATTGTATGGTTTTAGAAGAAATTTTAGTAGAGTTGAAAGCCGAACACGAAAATATGAGGAATTAATCTAATCAAAATGTATTAATCAGAGCTAGAGCTCAATGGATAGAGACTATTGAAAGGCCTACAAAATGCCTAGACAACTAAAACAAGAATTACGCGTAATTAGATGTCTCGCCTGTCTCCGCTTTGAGAATAAGATTCAATGTGTCAAGCATTGTAAGTTCGATCCGAAGTTCGGAATTTCACATTTTATAAACAAGTTTGGCAATACATCAACATGGAGGTATAAAAGGAACAAGTGCGAATTGTCATGGGAGCCGGCCATTACAGAAGTCGCCCAAACTACCCCTGCATTCGGAAAAACAAATGTAAATAGGAGAACGGAAGTCGCAGTGCCATAATACATGTACATACCAAATTTGAGCGAAACCAAAATATATGTGAATTTCGACCAATCATGCAGGAGTCAGTATACGACAACCATCTTGTTAGATCAGAAAACGGATGCCGCGGTTGAGTTCACAGTGCGAAAATACACTTACATACCGAGTTTTAGCGAAATCGAACAATAACTGAATTTCGACCTATCCGAAGCCATTATACAATGGCCATTTTGTCAAATAATAAAATGAATGTCATGGTTGAGTTTCCAGTGCCAAAAAACATCTACATACCAAAGTTGACTGAAATTGAACAATAACTGAATTAAGACCTATAAGAAGCCAGTATAAGGCGGCCATTTCGTCAAATGAGGAATCAGAAGTCGCGGTTGAGTGTGTAGTGCCAAGATACATCTATATACCAAATTTGAGCGAAATTTAACAACATCTGAATTTCGATTAATCAGAAGCCAATATACGGCGACCATCTTGCTAAATCAGAAAACGGATGCCGCAGTTGAATTCCTAAATGCTCAAATACACTTACATGCCGGTTTTTAGCGAAATCGAACATTAACTGAAATGCAACCAATCAGAAGCCAGTATAAGGTGGCCATTTTGTCAAATTAGAAACCATATAAAATTTGAGAAAAATCGAACAATATCTGAATTTGGACCAATCAGAAGCCAGTGCACTGTGGTCATGTTTGTTGTCTGATTCCATTAAAACCTTAAGGTTGTGACTCTAAAGATGGTAATAATCATCCCAACTTACAGTCTAAAATTAATTAGTGTAACACTAAATGTTTCAGATACAGCAAATAACACATAGCTTAATGCAAAAACTTTACATTTAAGAAGATGCTGTGAAAGTCACTGGACCGCGAAATGTAGGCCACATTCAACATATCATGCATGGTTTATAATCCATGGTTTATGAATATAAGACGCATGTATGGTCCAAGTTTGGCTGATCTAGCACTTATACTTTTTGAGAAACAGAGCTAAACGCAAAAACTTAACATGAAGGAAGATGCTAACAAAGTCACTGGACCCTGAAATATAGGCCACATTCAGCATATGATGCATGATTTAAAATGCACTGTTTCTAAAATAACTACAGTCCAAGTTTATTTAGTTTAAAACTTTAAATATTTAAAATACAGCATAAAACACACAGCTAAACGCAAAAACTTAACATTGATGAAGATGCTGTCCAAGTCACTAGACCGCGAAATGTAGGGCACATTCAGCAACTGATGCATGGATTGAGGTGAAGTATATAAAGACGCATATGTGGTCCAAGTTTAGTTGGTCTAGCACTTACACTTTTTGAGAAACAGGGCTAAACGCAAAAACTTAACGTTGACGCCGCCGCCGTTGGAAAAGTAACACATTAGTCCTGCCTCCTCGACATCCGTCGAAGGCGCGACAAAAGATATCGCCAAACTAATGAAAACTGTTGGTACTTAGATAAGTGAACAAAATAATTTACTAAGGAAAATTACTATTACAATTGAAGAAGAGCCCCTTACTTGACGGCTTCACAGCTGAAATAAACAATCTATTAAAATCCTCAAAGCAGGTCTCTCTAAGGGAGAGCTATCAACAACACTTAAACGAGGTTATTTTGTAGTTCAGTGAGAATGAATGAGAAGGAATTTTGTAAATGTTTAGATAGTATTTCTTTCCATTTTGCGATCATACCTCACCCCATGTACATGTCAATATAGCAGTAGATTTCCCACAGTGGGGTCCCGTGACCGTTTTTCCCGGACGAAGGTTAGAAAGTGTATTTGAGTCATTTTGAGGGTGCTGATTCAAATGAGCTTGGTTGAACCTCGTAAAAAAAAGTGAGCTAACACGCGAAAATTCAAAATGGCCGCCATCCGGCGTCCTGTATATCGAAAAATACATATATTTGCTTCCAGATGTCCGATTTAAATGAATTATGAGTCTAAATATATGTTTTTAGGATCAGGGATTTTTTAAATTTCGGGTTTAACGTCCTCGCAACAGCCAGGACAATATGTTTGGTTCGGTTTTGATTTGTTTAACGTCCTATTAACAGCTAAGGTCATTTAAGGAAACGCTTCCATGTGTGTTGGACCTCTTTGTTATTAAAACCAGTCATAA